TTTTTTTTTTCTTCTTCTTTTTTCGCGTTTTCAAGAACGAAACTCCCAGAGCACTCCCATGACAATTTTTGTGTCTTAGTGTTTTTTTTTCAAAACCCTCCATTTTAGCCTCGATTTTCCCTTTTACAAAAGTATTCGTCTCTTTCGCTGAAAAACAGTGGCACCATTTTTTTTTTTTTTTTTTCTTTTTTACTTTTACTCGAGTTCTGATACATTAAAACTCAGAAAAATAAAAATTTATGTTAATGTATTCTCGGGAGACTATAAAAAAACTGTTTATTTATACCGTTTGCATTTAATTAGAAGTAGAATTGTTTGTTTTGCGAACTGCAATGACAGGTTAGAAGTCTCTAAAATATTCTTTTCAGTGCAAAGCAATAACGGATGCTCTGAATATTTCTTTTTATGTATCTTTTTTTAGCCTCGAGCTCCCAATCTTAACTCTCCACACATATCTGAGCCTATTTCTTTCGATTTTAGTTCAGAGAATGTGGTTGTCTGTCAAGAAGTTTTATCCACACTGTACTGATGATTATCTTTGTTTCAAAAGCAGTCAGTAGACAACATTTTAATGTCCCTCTTTCGGTTGAAGGAAGAAGAATCAATGAACAGCAATTTTTATTTTTTAATGATCTATGAGATGTTTCTTGTTAGAACTTTACTTTTTAAGTTATTGAAGATATACGTTGCAGCGTGTTCCATTCTTTAAGCCGTAATTAATATTTGTGGCAAAATAATATTTATGAACAGGATGTTGAACACTCAACACATATTAACCGAAAGGAAGTTATTTCTACTTCATGAAGGTAGAATTTCTTATCGATTTTCAAATACCAATTTGTAGTAACTAAAAAGTTAAAGGAAAAAGAATAAGTTAAGTAATTCACCTGAAAGTCCTCTCTCTGCTGCTAGCAACTGGTCGTGTCAAACGACAAGCAAAAGAAGCAATGAATTAATCATCGTGCAGCAAAGTAAAGCCATTCACAGCTGTTGCCATTTTTCAATAAACGTAGGCTACAGGCTAGGAGCATGAACTATAAATTTACCATATAGATATTGATGAAACATCGGGACTCTCATTGTTCCTAAAATTCAATTTCTTTTCGCGTGCCGTGAAGATACTATTATTAAGCTTTCACCTGTGAGGATATTGATGTTGTCATTCTTACGGTCATGTATAATTTCTCTTTCGACATCTAAAATTTTCTCAAGAAGCAAACGTTCTTTATCGTTATTTTCGTTTAACTGGTTTTCATTTAAATCTAAACATTTTCGATCACGTTCCCTACCTCAGTTAATTATGACAACTGCTTTCGGTGCTTTTAAAATGAATAAAAACCTGAGACGACTAATTCATTAAATTTGGATGTTTCATCAACATTCATGTACTCAACGTGAACGTCAACGCTTTCAAAATTAATAACATGGAGGGCAAAATTACTGCATGCTGGTTGGTCAATGAAGAGGGTGTTTTCTCTTAATTTTGGTTGTGAAGAGGGCAAAATTACTGGCTCACGATTGGTCCTCAGATTGCCTAGCAACAGGTTATGCTATCGAGAAGTTGTTGCTAAAAATCTCCTGTAACAATGGCGTCTCGTTTCGAGATTGCTGACGATCGAGGAATATATGAAAGAAT